GTTTGACGGCAGTGTGTCTACAGTGTGTCTGTCTGTCTGCAGTGCGACGGCAGTGTGTCTGGCTGTCTGCAGAGTGACAGCAGTGTGTCTACAGTGTGTCTGTCTGTCTGCAGTGCGACGGCAGTGTGTCTGTCTGTCTACAGAGTGACAGCAGTGTGTCTACAGTGTGTCCGTCCGTCTGCAGTGCGACGGCAGCAGTGTGTCTGTCTGTCTGCAGTGCGACGGCAGTGTGTCTACAGTGTGTCTGTCTGTCTGCAGTGCGACGGCAGTGTGTCTGTCTGTCTGCAGCGTGACGGCAGTGTGTCTACAGTGTGTCTGTCTGTCTGCAGTGCGACGGCAGTGTGTCTGTCTGTCTGCAGCGTGACGGCAGTGTGTCTACAGTGTGTCTGTCTGTCTGCAGTGCGACGGCAGTGTGTCTGTCTGTCTGCAGAGTGACAGCAGTGTGTCTACAATGTGTCTGTCTGTGTGCAGTGTGACGGCAGTGTGTCTACAGTGTGTCTGTCTGCAGTGCGACGCAGTGTGTCTGTCTGTCTGTCTGCAGGGCGACGCAGTGTGTCTGTCTGTCTGTCTGCAGGGCGACGCAGTGTGTCTGTCTGTCTGTCTGCAGGGCGACGCAGTGTGTCTGTCTGTCTGTCTGCAGGGCGACGCAGTGTGTCTGTCTGTCTGTCTGCAGGGCGACGCAGTGTGTCTGTCTGTCTGTCTGCAGGGCGACGCAGTGTGTCTGTCTGTCTGTCTGCAGGGCGACGCAGTGTGTCTGTCTGTCTGTCTGCAGGGCGACGCAGTGTGTCTGTCTGTCTGTCTGCAGGGCGACGCAGTGTGTCTGTCTGTCTGTCTGCAGGGCGACGCAGTGTGTCTGTCTGTCTGTCTGCAGGGCGACGCAGTGTGTCTGTCTGTCTGTCTGCAGGGCGACGCAGTGTGTCTGTCTGTCTGTCTGCAGGGCGACGCAGTGTGTCTGTCTGTCTGTCTGCAGGGCGACGCAGTGTGTCTGTCTGTCTGTCTGCAGGGCGACGCAGTGTGTCTGTCTGTCTGTCTGCAGGGCGACGCAGTGTGTCTGTCTGTCTGTCTGCAGGGCGACGCAGTGTGTCTGTCTGTCTGTCTGCAGGGCGACGCAGTGTGTCTGTCTGTCTGTCTGCAGGGCGACGCAGTGTGTCTGTCTGTCTGTCTGCAGGGCGACGCAGTGTGTCTGTCTGTCTGTCTGCAGGGCGACGCAGTGTGTCTGTCTGTCTGTCTGCAGGGCGACGCAGTGTGTCTGTCTGTCTGTCTGCAGGGCGACGCAGTGTGTCTGTCTGTCTGTCTGCAGGGCGACGCAGTGTGTCTGTCTGTCTGTCTGCAGGGCGACGCAGTGTGTCTGTCTGTCTGTCTGCAGGGCGACGCAGTGTGTCTGTCTGTCTGTCTGCAGGGCGACGCAGTGTGTCTGTCTGTCTGTCTGCAGGGCGACGCAGTGTGTCTGTCTGTCTGTCTGCAGGGCGACGCAGTGTGTCTGTCTGTCTGTCTGCAGGGCGACGCAGTGTGTCTGTCTGTCTGTCTGCAGGGCGACGCAGTGTGTCTGTCTGTCTGTCTGCAGGGCGACGCAGTGTGTCTGTCTGTCTGTCTGCAGGGCGACGCAGTGTGTCTGTCTGTCTGTCTGCAGGGCGACGCAGTGTGTCTGTCTGTCTGTCTGCAGGGCGACGCAGTGTGTCTGTCTGTCTGTCTGCAGGGCGACGCAGTGTGTCTGTCTGTCTGTCTGCAGGGCGACGCAGTGTGTCTGTCTGTCTGTCTGCAGGGCGACGCAGTGTGTCTGTCTGTCTGTCTGCAGGGCGACGCAGTGTGTCTGTCTGTCTGTCTGCAGGGCGACGCAGTGTGTCTGTCTGTCTGTCTGCAGGGCGACGCAGTGTGTCTGTCTGTCTGTCTGCAGGGCGACGCAGTGTGTCTGTCTGTCTGTCTGCAGGGCGACGCAGTGTGTCTGTCTGTCTGTCTGCAGGGCGACGCAGTGTGTCTGTCTGTCTGTCTGCAGGGCGACGCAGTGTGTCTGTCTGTCTGTCTGCAGGGCGACGCAGTGTGTCTGTCTGTCTGTCTGCAGGGCGACGCAGTGTGTCTGTCTGTCTGTCTGCAGGGCGACGCAGTGTGTCTGTCTGTCTGTCTGCAGGGCGACGCAGTGTGTCTGTCTGTCTGTCTGCAGGGCGACGCAGTGTGTCTGTCTGTCTGTCTGCAGTGCGACGGCACGCTGCTGGACCTGAGCAGCACCTCGCTGGAGGGCATTGCCGTGCTCAACATCCCCAGCATGTACGGTGGCTCCAACCTCTGGGGCGAGACCAAGCGGCAGCGCAGCTACAACCGGATGAGCAAGAAAGTGCCCGAAAAGCTGCACTCCACGGTGGTCACCGACGCCAAGGAACTCAAGTTCTGCGTCCAAGGTGAGCCACGGGTGCGGGGAGGCAGGGAGTGAGATCTCTCCCCTCGCCCTGGGGGGGTGGGCAGAGTGCCTGGGTGTGGCGGAGGAGCGGGGAGGCCGGCCAGCCGGGGGCCTGCAGCCCAGCCCGCAGGGGGGGAGAAGCAGCCGGCCGGAGACGGGCCAGCAGCCGGCCCGCGG